TGATTTTTGAAATACATGAAAAGATGTCAGAAGAAACACATGTTTACTTAAGCATAGACTGCAGTCATTTCTGGGAATTAATGCAGAAGCACACACTTGCTTTCACAATGTGAAGAAGCAATGGAATTATCTCTAAAATACAAACTATGTAAATTAGGTATAAGAGAAAACAATATAGATTTGTAGAAAAAGTATGGGGTCTTCATTTGGACTATCTTGAATATGATAGTTCGGTAATTGACAAAAAGCCAAGTTAGGCAGAATTTCTTGATGAGGCTGAGGACAAGGGGCACTCAGACATTGCTGGAGGGAATGCAAAATGGTACAACGCTTATGGAAGGGAAGTAACCAATACTAGCAAACTCATAAACGTTCTAATCTTTGATAGAGCAATCTCTCTCCTCGAAAACTAGCCTAAAGATACCGTGGAAAAAATTAGAAAGATATATACAATGTCTATCAATTAGATAATTATAATTTACAACAAAAGATTGGAAATAACCATTTACAGAACTTGAAAAATTATTTCATATTCATACAACAAAATATACATATTGCCGATATATATTCCTAAAGTGAATAAGCAATGTAGAGAAAGTTTGCACAGTATTCTGTCATTTATCTAAAACTGGTATTTGTAATTCCACTAATATTACTATGTTTTTAAAATGAAAGAATAACTCATCAATATTTTTAAATCTGTGAGTTTGGAGTAATTTTTAAAAAGAAACTCATTAATCATTTATGGAAGATGTTATATAATTAACTCAGTATTTTTAAAAAACTGGATAAAGGTAAAGTATCAAACATTAACCTGGACTTTCTTTATTAACTGTACCTCAGAGTAACAAAATAGTTGAGTGAAATTTTCTCTTCATAGACGTGTCACAGCTAATAAATAAAGATGAGTAGAATTAGAGTATCATGGTTTTGCAACCCATAAGGAAATGATTCATAGCTACAAAAACAGGAATCACACAATGGGTCTTCCTTTTTTTCGTATATTGTTTTCTTTGGGGAGGAGGGGGCAATTAGGTTCAATTATTTATTTGTTTATTTAATGGAGGTACTGGGGATCGAACCCAGGACCTCGTGCATGCTAAGCACACACTCTACCACTGAGCTATACCCTCCCCTCCGCAACAGATTTCTTCTTGATATAAGTGTTTAATATAACCTATGAAAGAATACTTGAAAATATAGAACTCTACCTAATCAGGCCTCTAAATTGAATGGCCACTTTATAGAACATAGACGGACAGCATAGCATCTTGAATATAGCAGAGGTATGCAGACTATGGAAAATTCCATCAAACAATCCTGTTATTTCAACAATTGAATTTCAAAAATGAATAAAATAAAAAGGAGGAGAAGGAAGGGAGTTTAAGGTTAAAATAGAACAATTACATGAACCAATTTCAATGCATTGAACTTTTTTCAACCATAATTGAAAGTGAAAAAAATGAGGCAGAGGAATCTGAGCCCTGTTTATTTACTAATATTAAGGAATTATAATTTTTAAATGTGATGACAGTATTGTTGGTAATTTCATTAGTAATTTTTGACTTTCAGATAGAAGTAGTATGAGTATTTGCTTTGAAATAAAACAGGGGAAGAGGGGAAGTGGGAAGAAGGGTGGATCAGTAAGACTGGCCAAGAGTTGATAATTGTTTAAACTGCACAATATACATGTAGGAGTTCATTATACTAGTAGGTCTTGTCTCATGTATGTTCGAAGTTTTCAATAAGAGAGAAATTATTGTTGGTATAAGTGATTAATTCTGGATCTGGACAAGTTACCAGCCTTCCCTGAACAGCACCCGTAGCAGGAATTGTTTTCACAGGGTGGTTGTTTAGCAGGTAACCTGTTAATGCCAGCTCCCTTCATACCTTCACCAAAGTCCACTAAATTCTTTGGCATCTGACAGAAAATAATACATTTTTGCAGGTTAAGTAAAATGTCAACCTTACCTGTTACATTAACAGAAAAACAGAAGCACAGAAACTTAAGCACATTTGTTATGGTCACTTACGCCAAGGTTCAACATTAAATCTCAAATCCAAATGTAATTTTGTAACAGAATTTTTAAACATCACACATTTACTCTAAAATCACCCAAACTTCAGAGTTGTGCTCTACTTCATGTAAAACAAAACCAACAAACTGAATAAAGACAAGAATAAGTACCCACGCGCAACAACAGATTTGCTTGTTGCATTTAAGCTATATTATTTTACAAGGTACGTATTTGTACCTCTGAGATTTACTTGAGAGTTATGATGAACATTAAAGCGCTATGTGAGGCACAAAACTTTAAGCTTTACTCCTGTAGGAGAAAAGGTACTGGATGCATCTTTAAACGTAGCAAGCATTTTAAAGCTAACTCACTACCCCAGCCCTGGAGAAGTACAACCCTGCAGCCTGTTTAGAGGGACTGGAACTATCAGAAACAAATTTTTTTTATGGGCATGGGGACAACATCAAGGCAGGTTGTGGCTTACCCTGTGACATGGTCACAGTGGCTCGTCATAATTATAAATGTAAAAGCTGGTCGGTCAGTTAATTCCAGAAATTATTGGCAGAAATGCCCCAAAACATCTTCCTGCCTATCCCTCATGTGACCTGAGGCAGCATGGCGTTCTCTATTTTCCATCTATTATCTTGATAGACAGTAACAGATTGTGTTTTAAACTAGTATCTAATTTCCCACAAGCCACACGCACACCCTATTCTGCCCTCCAAAAACAAAGAATCACCGTTCCAAGATTATTTTGTAAGATAACAGAAATAATAATAGCCCCTAAATGGTGCTTATTCCATTTGTACTACTGAAACTATTTGGCAAATGGGCCACAAAGACATAATGGCATTTTGGTTTGCTACATTTAGGAGCATCTGAACTTTTGAGAACTTTTTATTATCCCCTCTTTGCACTGTTCACATAGGTCTTTACTGTAGCAATCAGTTGCTGTTAAGTTTCCTAATCTAGGAGTGAAATGGAATAGGCTGTTTTTAAGAAGATGCAACAGCCTATGGAGAAGGTCAGAAATAAGAAGTAGATAAATTTGTACTGAGTCAAAAGGTTCTGAGCAGAGCAGGATGGGGGTCAAATTAAAAGTTGGAGTGTAACCAAATATACTCCAAATTAATTGGTTCTCATTCCCAGATAAGCACGAAGCAACAACTTGTTGAAGACAATCTAAGGCTAGACCACTGAGTCAGCAACTAGACCAGGTGCAGAAGCATCTGTAAGTGACACATTCAGCGACGTTTTTGCCTAAAATGTCTGAGAAAGATGAAGAGATGTTACAGCTGTGAAGTCAAGCCTATTATGAATTTTTTTCCAATTTTTCTCTCCCAACCTCAAGTTGAGAAGGTAGTTTGGACAATAAAGAATGGGAGGAAGGAAAGGAGGAAAAAATTTGTAGACAAATATGAATGAATAAATACGGATCAAGTTTTTAAGAGAGAACTATAGTAACAAAGGCAGAAGAGAAATGTAATTCCAGATAGATCTAGAAAACTTATAAACACTGGGCTTACAGTATTAGCAGATACTATGTAACATGTTCAAATGTACATTATACTTTTAAAGATGTAATATATATTAAACATTAATCCTCCCAACAAGTTTATGAATTAAGCCCTATTTTAAGTCCAGTATTTTGGGATAACATCACTTAGTCTTAGAGAGGTTAAATGCTTTACCTAAGATCATGCAACAAATTCAGTGATTCCAAAATTTAAAGCACAACTGTCTGATTGAAAAGCTGACAGCTTAATCAGTCTTTACAGAATGCAATGAAGGCAGTCATTAATATATGATGTTTAAGATTTTTAATAATATGACAAAAGTTTCTGTAAAGCCAAGAAAGACACTAAATTTAACATAGAAAGACAGAGTCAGTTGTAAAATTACATATAAAAAGGAGACATACATAGTTGAAGTATTAATAGTTATTGCTGTGGGTATTGATTTTTAAGCTTTTTCTTCCCCTTGTTTATATTTCCCCTCATTAAAAAAACTTTCTTCTACAGTGATATATCTTACTTTTATAGTTAGTGATAAATGTGTAGTAATTGTTTCAATGCCTCCAAATTATATTCACTGGGACCAGTTTTAACTGATGCAATGCTACTTCTCAAAAACTTAAATTTATTATAGCTCACTACCTATTTTATCCCAAATCGAGTCAGTTTCTCCCTTCTCTAAGCTTTTGGGCTAAAAATTATAGAAATTACTTCCCAAATCTATTTTGTCCCTTTATTTCCCCAAAGAATCTCTTATTCTCTTCTGGAAATTTCCTCTTCTCCAATTCAACATTTCTAAAACTTAAATCAACATTTTCTAAATCCAATGTCATCATGTGTCTTGATTTCCCTATTAATGTTCATTTTCTTAACATTTTGGGCAAAACCCTTGGGACGACTTTAAAGGAACAACTTTGTTCCTTACATTCTGTCAGTCTCTAATTCTTCTGGAGGCTTTCTTTGATATATTTGTCATACTTATCCTTGCCTTTTCATTCTAAATGGCACCCTCTGTGTCATGTGCCTGCCAAGTTGGCCTGAGGTACACACCAGACACTTTCCAAACACCATTCTCAAAATTATGTGAAAGCACCGTCTTCACCATGTCATTCCTGTGTTCTCATGTGGTCAAAGATTCACCAGTGTCTATCAACTGTTTATCCAAGTATTTAAGCCTCACCTCCTGCCCTAGCCTATTCCAAACAACGTTTTGTTTCAAATGCTACTACCTGGTTCCTTCATTCCAGTTTAAATTTGGTTTTCCATTCTCCACATATTTTATATCTCTGTGGTCAGTTAAATTGCATCTGTTCCTTATAGCCTACTTCAGACTTCAGCTTCTTGAAGGCCTCACTAGCATGAAGCCTCCTTAGACACTATAGATAATAATGTTTCTTCCAAAGAAGTCTAAATAACTGAAGAGGGTACTGTTCACAGTATCAAGACTCAGGAAGAGGATTTTGTTATTCCCTTTTAACAGACAGAGAGGCTGAAAACACACTAAATGATTTCAGCAAGCTACATAAAAAGTCAGAGCCTACATCATAATTAAGAAACATATTGCTGGGGGGAAGATACAGCTCAAGCAGCAGAGTGTATGCTTAGCATGCACAAGGTCCTGGGTTCAATCCCCAGTGCTTCTTCTAAAACATAAATAAATAAATAAACAAACAAACCCTAATTACCTCCCCTTATGTAAATAAATAAAAATAAAGAAACATATTGCCAAGTACTAAATTGGTATGAGTGGACTTTTTATAATTGAGAAGTCTAACCCACCCTATGAAATGTTTCATCAAGACATCTATTGCAAATAAATATTTTCTTCTCAGCAAGGAAAGTACTGAAATCCAAATGTTTCATCAAGGATCAATGAAAACAACAGGTATTGTTTCAAGTTCCTTACTCCACCTGTTCAGCTTAAAGAGACCACAAAAGATGACAGATACTCTATTTCAGAAAAACGTTTATCTCTAACAGTTGCTCATTTCAGTCACTGCTTTGATATACACCTCAGCACAAACAATACAACAGAGGTGTAATATCCTGGGGACAAAGAATCCATACGGTGGCTTTATGGAAAAACAGCCAGCTTGTATCAGAGGTAAGGACAGAAAACTAAACACACGAGTCTCTCGCCTCTGCTTTTCTCTGTTGTCATGATCCTAAGAAAGTCAGAGAAGATGAATTTTTATCTTCACTCTTATTAATAAAATAACAAAGCTCCACCTTTATTTTATCTTTCATCATCCATGGGAAAATGCCAAACTCTTCTGTTTGTAGGCAAGTTGTTATTCTTTGCCTCACTGAGTCCAGCAATTAATTTGAATTTAAATAGTTGGTGGGGGTTGGTTAGGGCTCTAGGAAACCTTAATTCGCCAGATACATTTTAGAAAGTAATGAATACTGAATTACTTTGTAACTTGCATTTTTAAAATTTAACACAGTACCTTATTTTCCTGCTCTTTCCCTAATAACTTTCTGTGTTTTGTGGTTCTGTTTTTTATTAGAAAAATGAATGCAGAGAGAGTTAACATGAGTCAAGAATATGAAGCTCATTAAAGAATTATGAAATCTTACTATTAAAATTATATGCTTATTATCTTAGCAAGGTTCCACATTATTTCCAAGGAAATATTTAGTCCTTTTTATAACATACAGTTATTTCAGACTATGAATTTCTGTAAGAATTAAAGAGACGTTCCCTTCCTTTGCCTCAGGTATCAAACCAAATGCATATACTTCCTAACAAAGAAATAATTTCAAAAAAAGATATTTCATCAAAAACATTATACTTATCTTCATATTAAAAATGTTGAAAAATAAAATAGGCATATAAAATCAGATACACATATGTGATAATATAATTTGTACATGTTATTTAACTTCTAATTTTTGAGCAATGATTTAACTGTAAATGAAATATTAAACATGTAAAGTATGCTTTCATATCTCTGAACAGTCTTCAGAAAAATCCTTCAATAAGTTTATTCAATCTTATTTAAAATAATTTTGTTATTTAATTGAATAGTTAGTAATGGTCACATGTTGTAAGTCTGATGAAATAGTATACAACCAGTGTTAAAATCCCTTATTTTCCTGCGCACCACAAATGCACCTGTGAAGAAATTCTAATATCTTGAAGGAACAGAGCAAGGACCATTTAGTGAGCCTGAGTTCTCGTTACCATATTAAATTCTTGGGTTACCCTAGTCAACAGTGTTGGAAGGTCACAGTATAGATGAAGTAGTCGCAGGGAACAGAAGCATCTGGGAGCCAGGAGGGATGCACTGATGGCAAGTGTGCAAGGGGAGGGCTTAGGAAGAGACACCTGCATCCCTGGTGGCCTCACAAAGAGAGCATTTAGGTCATCAGGCACACCTATTTGAGGCCGTGATTATTTGCCCTGGGGTCCTCCTCTTCCTTGTTTTTCTCATTTGCTTCCTTTTCTGTCACTTTTCATGTTGGAATGCTTATAGGTGTCCCTTGTGAAAGGTATTTGAAAAGTATAAGAATTATATGTAGAAGATTTTCAGTTCTTCACAGGGAAAGTGTCACAAAATCTAATACATAAATAATAAATCAATTCAACAGATGTTGGCTTTTTCTTGTCAGACAGTGACTTTCAAATCCTGATTCAGAATCTGTGATAGAATAAATAAACTAAAAGTGAAACTCAATTTGTCTACCTTACCCAAGGACAAAAGATAAAAATGTTAGATTAAACAGAATTATCTATATCTATCTATCGAGTAAGACGGGACAAGAAGCATCAATCATGTATTTAAAGCAGATCTTATGAAAAACAACATGCAGAACAGGAGTTTTTCCAAGCTGAATATTTTGTTTATTAAATGGAAATTAATAAACCCAAACCGTATGTTCTTAACTAGCGCTAAAAATAATTTAACACACTTTAAAGAAGCAAATACTGAATATTAGCCAAGAAATACTAAAATCAAAGGACTGAGATTTCCTCACAACTTCATTTTTTAAAAAAATCACTGTTTTCTGGCATTACAAGCAGAACATTAGTCAAGAAGAAGACAATCTTTGTATCAAGAAATGGAATACAGGCCTCTGGAATTCTAAGTTCTCTATCAACAGTTCTTGGAAATTTATCATCTTTGCCTATATTTCTGCTTTTAGCACTATGGTTCAAATACTTATTTAAATTTATCTATCCCTGAAAATTCCACAACTTAGATTATTATAAATGTTAAGTATCATATGTGGAAAAACTTTGAACCCCTGGTACTTAATGTGATGCACAGACAATCAGCATAGGCATTATGCTGGGAACCTACTGGATACACAGAATTGAGAGTCTCACCCCTAGATCTACTGAATCAAAATCTCAATTTTGACCAAAATTTCCCAAGTGATTTGGATGCACATTACAATTTGAGAAGCACTGATTTGGCCACTGGCACATAATTAGCCTTCTACATCTATTAACATTTTTTGTTGTTGTTGTAAATCAAATCCAACCTCTCAAATATACTCACTTAGAAGAATTACATGATGCCATTGAGTGAATGGAAAGGATTGCTTCTGCAGGTTAAATTTCATAGCAAAAAAATATGTTCATTGAATGGAAAAAAATCTTAGGAAAACTATGAAGCAGACCAGGTTTCTCTTTTGTGATCTAACCCAACCCTCACCAATGACAATTCCCTCACAAATGTCCATTTCCCTTTTAACTACATTTTTGCCCCCCACCCTTTCTTATTCTTCTACACTGTTTTTTCCCTTTTGAAGGGATTACCTTTGTCAAAATTTTGTCAAACCCCTGAGTGGTTTGTTTGTTTTTTTTTTTGCATACACTTAATATTTAAAACAAGGTTTTCTTTCTGTCCTTTTTGGGTTTTGTTATTATTATATATCAAATTTGCACACACACAAAACTCACAACAAATGTGAGGTGCTTAAAAATAACAATAGAAACATAAGCAGAATTGAGGGCCCAGAAATAAATCCATGCATATATTGTCAACTAATATTTAACAAGGGAGCCAATAATCCTCAATGAAGAAAAGACTATCTCTTGAATAAATTGTGCTGGGCAAATTGGATACTCACATGGAAAAGAATAAAACTAGACCCCTATATTACAATACTCACAAAAATTAACTTTAAGTGAATTAAAGACTTAAATGTAAAACTGAAAACCATAGAATTCCTAGAAGAAAACATAGGAAAAAAGATCCTTGACATGGGTCTTAGCAGTAACTTTTTGCATATGACACCAAAAGCACAAGTAAGAAAAGCAAAAATAAGTAAGCTAGACTACATCAAACTAAAAAGCTTTTGCACAACAGAAGAAACAATCAACAAAATGAAAAAAGAACCTATGGAATGGGAAAAATATTTGCAAACCATGTATCTGATTATGGATTAATACCCAAAATATATAAAGAACTCATGTAACTCAATAGCTCCCCTATCCAAAACCCAAAAAATCCAATTAAAGAACAGGAAAAGCACCTATATAGACATTTTTCCAACGAATATAAATGATTAAGAGGTACAGGAAAAGGTGTTCAACATCACTAACCATTAGGGAAATGCAAATCTAAACTACGAGATATCCCCTTATACCTGTAAGAATGGCTACCACCAAAAAGACAAGAAATACTAAGTTTTATTGAGGATGTGGAGAAATAAGAACCCTTGTAGAATTGTTGGTGGGATTGTAAACTGGTAGAGGCAATATGGAAAACAGTATAAAGTTTCCTCCAAAAACTGCCATATTATTCAGCAATTCCACTTCTGGAAATATATTCAGAGGAAATGAAAACCTTGTTGAAGAGGTATCTGTACCCCCATATTAACAGCAGCATTATCTATTATTACTAAGACAGCTAAGACATTGAGACAACCTAAATTTCCATCGACAAATGAATGGATAAAGAAGCTGTTATCCAACTTCACAATGGAGTATTATTCAGCCATCAAAAAGAAAGAAATCTTGTCATTTCCAATAACATGGATGGACCTTGACAGCATTATGCTAAATGAAATAAATCAGACAGAGAAAGACAAACACTGCATGAACGCACTTATATGTGGAATCTAAAAAACAAACAAAAATAACAAAAAAGCAAACTCATAGAAAAAAGAGATCAGATTTGTGGTTCCAAGAGGTGAGAGGTAGTGGGTAGGAGAACTAGATAAAGGTGATGAAAAGGTACAAACTTCCAGGAGAAAAAGGAACGTAAGTACACATATCACCCATTTTAAAATAAAGAAGTCTGGTTTCCTGGGGAGGAAACCAGACTATTAAAGTTATCATTTTGCTGCTTTTGTCTTTAGTTTTATAAACATAACTATATCACTCAACAATTTATCACTTTGTCTTGCATATGTTATGTAAGTGTAGTTATTATATACTGCGTGAGCTTTTGATTCAACATTATATTTCTGAAAGTCATTGTTTCTACGTAAACTGTAATAGATTGATTTTCATTGCCGTATAATAATCCAGTATTCCTTCAAAGGGCCTTGAGTTACTCCAGCCTTCAGTTAATATTAACAGCACTATCAGAAACATACTTCTATGTGTTGCCTGGTGCACATGCAACACTTCTTCTAGGACACATGCCTAAGAGAAGTGTTGCAGGGTTATGGGGAATTCACTTCTTTACGTTGTTGGATAATTGTTCTCTAAGCCGGTTATTCAAATTTCTCTCTCTTTAAGACCGGTACTGCAGTCATCAGGGTAGAAAAAGCCTCAGGCACTCAGGTAGAGAGGGAAAGGTAGATATACACTAGAAAACATTTAAAAGGCTGGTTGAACGGAGCCCTGATTACATACATTTAAAGAGATCACTCCATTTGCCCAGGAAAATATTTAGTATTCACAAGAGAGGTTACACTGAAGATCTCTAAAGCAGGTTCTGTGTTTGTTCAGAGTAGGAAAACATTAGCAATCTCTTTGTTAAGTTAAATGTTCACCTTTTAGGATGTATGACATGTGGCTTATGGAGTGGCAGCTTTCATCACATATTTATACCTATATACTTACTATGCTACAGACACACCTCCCCAGAGATTGAGAGAGACCCTTGACAGGGAGAGACAGGGAAGAGAGGCCTTCCTGATGAGCACAGGTTAATGATACAGCATTTTTTAGATATACTATAAAGTATATAGTTGAAGTTGTTTAGCACTTCACAAATATGTTAGAAAATGTGTACCTTAAAAGACATGTTCAAATAGCATTTGCTATCCTGAAGGGAAAAATCTCGGGCCATCTAGAAAGTAGGTATCTTCCCATTAATAATATACTGTAGCACTAAATTAATTTAGAAGTCATTTTAGAGGAGGGTGAAAGACCTCGGACTGCTGATGTTGCCCTATGTGGGGTTTGGATCTTTCCTGTGTGACAGGCATCACAGCGGAGAGGGTAAAGCTCAGTGGGAGAGCGCATGCTCAGCAGGCACGAACTCGTGGGTTCAATCCCCAGTACCTCCATTAAAAAAAATAAAACAAAAAAAAAGGATCACAGAGGGCTGCACACAGAATAAAACGGCTGTAGTATGAAATGGAGTATCAACTAAGCATTTTTTAATTTGTTCTGTTATCTCCCTTTTGCCTACCTATGAAACTGGGTGGTTCCTGAATTAGGCCAAAGAAATAGGGCTTAAGAAACACAAGGATCCTTTCCACATGTGGTGTCAGAGTGTAAATACAGTGAGGAAGGAGCTTGTGAATGTTGGCCTTTTGTAGATCAAGCAGTCAGTGGCCAGGGAATGGACCAGAGATGCCAATGTTAGTTGCTAATGGTCTGTGTATGAAATGGTTTTAGCCGGATCACCTCAACTATTGCCTAAGTATTTATATTGCATGATTTAACAAATGCAACCTTCCTGAATACAAAATAATTCTGATAAATCTAATATACTAAGTTAAATACTTTGAATTTAAAGTTTTCTTAGATATTTCAATACTAAGAAAAATGTAGTAAGATTTCATCTCAAAATCAAAGCCTAAATTGATTATTTACATCACTGTTGGGATTTTCAGAACTGTAGCTACAAGACCTTTTGAATGGATGTTTTCTCATTCCTTTATATTCTTAGGACCATGTAACTCTTAAGGATACTTAATATTTTATCAGAGTGAATTTTCTCCGTCTCACTTGTTACCTGCCTCTACATCACATGTGTGTATATGGGGAGGGAGGCTGTGTGTGCACTTTAACTGGTCTTTCCCATGATTCAGAAAATACCACATAACTGAGTTAATAGGTACAGTTTCTATTTTCTTCATTGATGCAATAAAATAGACCAGATGAATAAATGACTGTTCCAGAATGTTATGTGATTCATGGCTTTTTAGATTAAATGTGTTTCAGAGGACCATAGCCATTGTTCTTCTTTTGATGTTCAAATTTTCACAACTTTGGCCCGAGAGCCCCATTTACTTTGACTTCTGTGACCCTTCCACATGATGCCATTAGTACTTAAAAGCATCTCTGCTTTCAAGCACAGTATGGTTTTCCAACCTTGTTTATACCTTCCTGCCCCTAACACCCTTATCTCCAAAGAAGTCTGGTTCATTTGAATGAAAAACTACAGTGACCAGTGAGAATCTGGACACTACGGTGAACCATTTCAGTGAACAAAGACAGAAAAGACATATTCTTCTTATTACAAAGGCAGGCAGGCATCCATATTGGTATTTCCAATTAAGTTCTAATAGTAAATGGTTCCCTTTTAAATTTTCAATCCTATATTGTATTTGTATCTCTTTAACTCTAATTCTGTCAAATTAAATCAATTCATTTAAAAGTCGTTACCATTTGCTTTATCTGAAAATCCAAGAAAACAGATCCAAAATTAGATGACATTATAGCAAACAATACAATACTGAATAAAGTTCAGAAATTTTCTACATAGTTTCTTCTGTTCTTAGAATGTAGCTCACTAATGATACTTGATGAAATTACTTTTTCTGGAGCTGCTTTTAATCTCTCATTCTGTCTGATTATGTAAGTATTATTTGATGGTCACTTTGGTTCTTTTATTTTTTTTAATTTACTTTCACTTTAAAAGGGTTGGCATTCTTCTAAACCAAAGCCAGACTAAACTACTAGTCTTTTCTTAGCAGGAGAAACATTTCCTTTTCATCTTTGCCGTGATTAAATCTCAGCAACTCAACCTTCAAAATTTTGTTTAATGGTTTCCTTTCATTACCATTACCAGGTCCATCTATGATGATTTCCTAGATAGCTACGTATACAGATAGTTATAGGTACACGATTACTACGTACGGTAAGTACTTGGATAAGCCAGATCTATCCCTTGTTATTTAATTTTTAGTGTCATTAATATCCATGAATGTCCACCTAAGTAACTTTTAACTCTACTAATTGCCATCCTGATCTTAAAGCTTTTTGATTTATTTGGCTTCTTTTTCTAAAGCATAAGTTCTTCTTCATTTTATAATCAGTATTTTCTTACCAATATATCAAGTCAGGGAGTGTTAAATCAAAGTTTACCACATGTAAATCCAAATATTCTTTCAATAATACTAGTGGTCTCTAATAAAAATATACACACAATCCTAGGATCCCATTTGATTGCCAAGAAGTATAGACATTTGATATTTGTATGAAATCTTCTTTTGGCTTATGATCAGAATTCAGACTTTACACTTCATATATAGTTCCAGTGTCTCGTAATTATTAACAAACCTAGAGCAAAACAAACTTCAATTTTTAAGAGGACTTCAGATAAGTACAGACATCCATTAACTTATTATATATGGATTCAAATTCCCAAAATGCCAATTAGGGATGTTAGGAAATACAACAAAACTATATCAAATAAACTATAATTGTAAAAACAGCCATAAAATGTGTCAGAAATTTTATTTTAAATATTATCCAGAAAATTCAGGTGGAAAAACTTTAATAAATTCATGTAACTTCCAGATCATATGAATGAAACCTGCTAGAACTGATATATAAAATATCCCAGGTTTTACAATTATGGACTTCCATTTCTTTAAGAGGAAACAAATTATTTCCTCTATAAAGCATACTGGCCGGAACCTCTAACAGTTCCTCCTATAACAATGAGATCTTCTGGACCCCTGAAACAAACATGTCTTAAAAATAAAAGTCAAAAAAGATGCAAACTTGCAAGTTGAAATAGAGCTGATTATAGCTATGTACATTTAAATATAAGCATTGATTCAATGTCTTCAGATAGACAAAGATTTGTCTATTAAAGAGGCATGGTCTTCACTGAGTATAGGCCATTTTCTAGACTCCAGAACTTGTTCTGGACTTGCATATAGTGCCTGAACATTCTAAACTATTACTTAAAAACTAAGAGACCATAGTGATAATACCTCGAGGATCAACTACTTGTTTAGACATTCTGATAAACATTTGTTGGCATCTTCAGAGAAGAGACATCAGGAAGCTTGTAGGACCTTGGTACAAGAGTCAAACTGCCCACGAACAACAAACAGGGTTTAGATTTTTATTAATTTTTTTAAAGATTACTGTATTTTTAAAAATAGTTTAATTTACTAAGTCAGGCAAGATGCTAGATACCACTGAAATAAAGACTAAGACAAAATCATTGCCCTCAAAGAATTTCAGGCCAAATGAAAGAGAGAGAAAAATGAATAAAGATGTACAAAACTGCATATTACCTTCGATAACCATGGTATAAAAGGGCCTGACATAGAGGGGGGGAGAAAAACAGGGAAAGGTTACACAGAAAAGGTGATGCTTAAGCTAAACCTTCAAGGATGAACAGCAGAGGAAAGAGAGGAGAGATGAAGAAATTTCCAGGCTAATGAGTTTCTTTGGTTCCAAGTAGCTTAGCAAAGGTAGAACACAGTCTAAGTATGAGGCAAGGGCAAAAGGTATGGTTGGCCAGATTATGAAAGGCTTTGAATATCAAGTCAAAGAGGTGTGTAGGAGACAGGGCATCAACTGTGGTATTTAAACAGGCAAGTGATATATTTGGGTTTTTGATAGAGCCCTTTGGTAGCTCTGTGGAAGATGAATTTTAAAGGGACAAGATTGGAGACAGAGACATGAATTATGATTTATTCCAACAGTAGGTGGATCAGTCCGTTAGTGTTTCATCTAAAGAAGACTGCAGGACAAAGAAAATAGGGTAGATCGGAAGAAGCCAGATTAGTCAAATAGACTGAACTTCAAGATTTGAGCCCTCAAGGTAAGACAGGAGAACTTTCTGGCTTATGAGGTTGATTTCCATTTACTGAAGAGTTACGGAGGGAAGACCAAGGTGGAATAGCTCTGCTGTTGTTCTTTCTTTTGTTTGTTATTTTTGTTTGCTCTCAGAGTGCAAGTAGAGGGAAAATGTTAACTTTACTGGTAGCCAGTAGTCGGTCAAAAATGTGTACAATCGGGATGCTTTTCAAAATACTTAACATTCACTTTAGCAGGAGCGTCCACTGAGGCCAGCTGGGGAGGAGGTGCTAGTGCAGAGTCCGAGAGCCACCCTCCTGGGTCAGGTGTCTGGTCTTTAGTTTCTCAGCTGTAGAAGACGTGGGGCAGCACGGTGTGAGGAAGGGGTGTGGTAGCAGGGCTCAGGCAGTGACTATTAACTGACTGGTATAGAAGTATTTCAACATTTTAACAACTAGCATGTCCATAGGATGAACACAACCTAAATATTATCCATGATTAAAGTCAGGAAATAGATGGCAAAATTCAAAAATCTGCAGTTCTTTCCACACTTTAAAATATAGAGGCAGAATATATCTTTGGTGGAGAATGTTCTTTTGAATGGGGGTACTTTAATATTATTTTATTTATGCAAGGTGAATCTCAGGTTCAGGGCCTAGCCTGAAAGGTAGAGATTGAGAAAAAAGAAAAAGAAAATGCTTTCAGTAATAAAGCAAAAGACTTTCTCATGTATTGCATAGAGGACATTTTGCCCAAAACAGGTATTTTGATACCAGGAGATTTTTAGCCTTTTCTAAGAGAGTCAATGAAGCAAGAACTTAAACAGGATGAGAGGGTCCAGGCAGCATGGTGCCTGCTCAGACCTGAGGAGAGAACAGCCAGTAAGGGGCGCCAGTGAACAGCAGGGTGAGTGTCAAGTACGATGGGAAGGGGCCTGGACACAGCTACAAAATACAGAGAAGCAGGAATCCAGCAGCCAAAGTTAACAGAGCACAAGTTGACAACACATAGTGAGTGCCAATTTAAGTTCCTTCTGAGGATATTTAGAATGACTCTGACTCAGGGAGGGATGAGCCTCCTCAAGTCAGACGGGAGGAAGGTGGAGCCTATAGGTAAGTGGGTATGAAACAGGAGGTAGAGAAAAACTGGCAACTTCAGAAAACCTTGGGTAACACACAGATCCAGTATTTAAGAAACTGTGAGATTTATAGGCTTCGGGATTTTTGTCTAAGAGGTACTTCATTATTCTAGATGGTTTGATGATTTAGAGTTCATAGAATTAGGAGGACTGAGGACAAAATTCTATAGGACACTAACATCTACAGAACAGATGGAGGGAGAGGCACTTTTAAGGAAAACTAAGGAGTGGGTCTAAAACGTAGAAGAACTAGAAGAATGAATTTTGAAGAAACTGAGTGAAGAAAGATGTTTAAAGTGTATGTGTTCAGGATAAGTCAATTAAGGTAGAACTGAAAAGAATCAATGCCATTTGGTGATCAGAGAGGAGAGCTATATGGAGTCAATGTGGAAGGATTCTCGGTGCAGTAGTGGTAGCACTGTCTGTCCTTACTAAGTTAAGAAAGGGTGGAAAGGAAAATTCCAGAGCCGAGTTAGACCACACTCTTGCTAAATGAATGTATAAAGAAGGAATGATGGAAGAAAAGAGCTAAAGAAATTACGGGATTAAGGGAGATATTTCTCTTAATGTGAGATCGAACTAAACATGCTTATATGATGGAAGGAGGTATGAAGGAAGAAGAGATAAAGGAAGAGAGACGGGGAGAAAGAGTAATAGAAGGTCTCGGAAGAGATAGGGAGTGACAGCAATCCAAACACAGTTAAGGAGATAGCACAGAGCAGAAAAAAAGTAATCTTCTATTACTGAAATCCTTGTCTCTATCTCCTTTTTCAGAGCTGGAAAATTCAGAGCACTGAAATAAATGAGAGGTGATATGTGACAGACTGCAATAGCATAGCTCTCAATAAGTTGTCGTGTAATAATAACTAAAGTCCTCTTGCACAATTTAAAAAACAGCTCTTGGTATCTAAGGTAATGCTTAGAAGAGTTTGGATAGAAAGAGTTATTCCTTCAGGCTGCTGTGAAGAGAAAACTAAGTGTCTCATAAAGAAAAATAGCTTTAAAAGAAGCTCATTGATCTCTGTAAGGGGGCCCTTATAGCGGGGGGGGGGGGCTGGTTTTTTTTTTTTTTCAGGAGTTTAGCAGTTACCAAAACAACAAGGCAAATGCCTGAAGTGCATATAAGTCGGTTTATAAATAGCTGAATCATATCATGAACAAGCAGCTTATCAAAGTAGGTAAGACAGCGTATTCTGAAACCAGACTGCCTAGGACTGAATCCCTTTTCTTCAGCAAAATTACTTCATCTAAGTCTCAATGCTTTCCTCTGAAATAAAGGAATAAAAGTTATAACAACAGTATTACTCACTTCATAAAATAGTTCAGAGGTCTCAGTGTGCACATGTGTATGTGTACTTATAAATGCATTTGGAGCGGCTAAAAATGCAACTGGAGTAGCTAAAACATTTATTTCTTCCCGGACCTAGTCAGCTTCCTCACTGGAATATTCAAGAATCAGCTAGAAGACAAAATTACCACTGCTAGAATTCATTAAACCTCTAGGATTTTGAGATTTCTATAATCTACAAGTTAAAGATAGAAAAAAATGCAGCAGTATTTGTTTAACCCAAGACAAGCGGTAAGTAAATAAACCCAAAGCCTCTAGAACACCTACCTGCTTGACCAACATCAGAACAACTTGAAAAATCAACTTAGATTTAGTGTGTGTGTGTAGGTGTGTGTGTACACGTGTTACAGCAAATACCACTTACAGAAATTTGAACAGCAGGTGCCTGTTACTAAAGTCAGTTACTGACAGTTTGTAATGCACCTGGCTGAACTCCTCTGTGGTAAACAGCCACTGGAAATATGGAAATGCAGTTATAAATCTCCATGGAGACCTATGAAGCTCATAGATGGATACAGAGCAGAGATGCATATTCCAAATAGGTGACATTCTGGTAATACATTCTTTTAAAAGTGACATCAAGAAAGGCTGGCTCTGTCTTGGAAGGTCAGTGCAGTGCTTGGGGGTTCACTGAACTCTTTATCCTGTTGAACTTTTAACCTTCATTGATCTAAAATTCTTGTTCTGAAAAAAAAAAAGTCACCTTTCTCTTATAAATTCCTCAAGGAGAAACAGACATGCAGTCATAAATTATTGATTCTCTGCCTTTTTAAAAACGGAAAAAGTACTTTGTACAATGTCTGCAACCTGATTATTTTTTAATCTTTTCCCCACACAGTATTTCAGAATTATTATACTACAATGAGATTAGGAACTCTTTTCATAAAACTAATGGAGATCCAGGGGTGATGGGGAAGAGCTGACTGATTTGGTAAAGAATTCACTTTTTTAATTCATGTCAAAGCTACAGTCTCATGACAGTTGTCAAATGTCAGTTGACCCAAAAGTTCTCAATTACTTCCAATGAAAATGGCCAACTGAAGTGAAACATGGGTTTGTAGACAAATCCATTGGTTTGAACCAAGAGCCAATGAACCACAATTTTCATCTTATGATGGGGCACTGACACCTAATAAAATGTAAATATACTTTAATATCATGAAAAAAAAAGATGGGACACTTAGTGTATTTTCAAGTTTATGAAACAAATTCCTAACCCCATAGGACACATGAGACCCTGAATAAGAATATGTGGTTGGTCTCTGTCCAATATATGCCTGTATCTGGAAAGAAAGAATAATGTGGTTTTCAACTAAAATTTCTCTAACTCATCCTTAATCTCTGGTCTCACTGAAATGGGTAAAGCATGCCGTCTTTACCCAAAAGCAAATAGGAGAGAAACATTTGCAAATCATTTATCAAATTAAGAGTCCAGTATCTAGAACATATGAAGAACTCTAAAAACTCAAGGAAAAGACAAAAAAAATTAAAAGGCAGAAAAGACTTTAATAGACATTTCTCCAAAGAAAATATAGTAATGGCCAATAAAACAAGATGCTCAACATCATTAATAACCAGGGAAATGAAAATCAAAACCACAGTGAAATACTATTTCACACCCACTAGGATGGATATAACTTAGAAAATGTTGGTTAAGATGTAGAGAAATTTAAACTCTGCTCCACTGCTGTTGGGAACATAAAATGGTTCAGCCACCATGCAAAAAGTTTGGCAGGTCCTTAAAAATCTGAAACATTGAACATGTGGCCCTGCAATTCCACTCCTAGGCATACACCAGAAAGAGCTAAAACAGGTACTCAAACAAACGTATATACATACATCCACAGAAATAATAGTCACAATAGCCGAAAGCTGGAAATCACCCAAATGTCTACCAATGGATGAATGCACAGACAAAAACCAGATACAAAAGGTTGCATATTGTACAGTTTCATAAATGTATTTTATAACATATAGACTATATTTTATACATATATCAACTCTCCAGAATGAGTAAATCCATAGAGTCAGAAAGCAGAATAATGGTTGTTGGGGTCTGGGCAGGGGCAGGAGCTAGGCAATGAGGAGTAACTACATGATATGGACAGGGTTTCCTTTTCAGTAAAGAAAATGTTTTAAAACTAGATAGAGGTGGTAGTTGCACAACAATGTGAAAGTACTGAAGGCCTCTGAAGTGTTGACTATGATTCATTTTATGTTACATGAATTTCACTTCAGTAAATAAAATGTCAGGGAGCACCCCTGTATGTGCTTTGTCTTAATCTCTTTTCCTTTTTCAAGAATTATTTCTTCACTTTCTGTATCTTCAACCTCATTTTCTCATTTTTTAACAGTTGTATTCAGACATAACTTACATAATATAAAATTCACCCATTTGAAGTACACAATACAATGGTTTTTAGCATATTCATACAGTTTTACAACCATCATCACAATCTAATTTTAGAACCTTTTCCCAACTTATTAGCAGTCATCCCTCAACCCTAGATAACTACTAAGGTACTTTCTATGTCTATGAATTTGCCTATTCTGGACAGTTTAAATAAAGAGAATCATACAAGATGTGGCCTTTCGTGCCTGGCTTCTTTCCCTTACAGCATAAAGCTTTCATGATTCATCCACGCTTTGCAGGTATCAATACTTCATTCCCTTTATAGCTAAAGAATTTTGCATGGTATAAATGCCACATTTTGTTTACGCATTCATCAGTTGATGGACATTTGGATTGCTTCCACTTTTTGTCTATTATGAATAATAATACTGCTATGAACATTCATGTGTAAATTTTGGTGTGGACATAAGTTTTTGTTTTTCTTGAGGGTATATCTAGGAGTGAAATTGCTGGATCATAAGGTAATTCAAACATTTTAAGGAACTGCTAAACTCTTCTACCATGGCTACCCCACTTTACATTTCTCAGTTTAATGTAATTTACATTCTTTCTTCGTAATCTAACTTTTGCATTTAAAATCACTGAGTATAAAAAAGAATAGAATAATGTCATTTGCAGCAACATGGATGGACCTAGAGATCATCATTCTAAGTGAACTAAGCAGAAAGAGAAAGAAAAATACTATATATCACTCATACATGAAATCTAAAAAAAAAAAAACAGGACACCATGGAACTCATCTACAAAACAGAAACAGACTTGTAGACTTAGTAAACAATCTTATGGTTACTGGGGAAAGACAGTGCGAAGGGACAAATTTGGGAGTTAGATTTACAAATGTTAGCCACTGTCTATAAAAATAGATTTTTAAAAAAGTTTCTTTTGTATACCACCAGGAACTATGTTCAACATCTTGTAAAAACTTTTAATGGAAAAAAATATGAAAATGAATATATGTATGCACATGCATGACTGGGACATTGTGCTGTACACCAGAGATTGACACATTGTAATTGACCGTACTTCATTTAAAAAAAAAAAAAAGTCAGTGAGTAGATTTTCTCCTACCCTTCCTTCTTAGGGTGGCACCTAGATTCCATGGAATTGGAGGGAAGTAATAGCACGATGCCAACTAAACATGTCACTCGCCACCCAGTTCTAGGAGAGTTATTAGTCACGGCAGGCGCTGACCTTCAGCACACCCTGAAATGACTCTGGGGCAGAATGAAGCGTTTTGTCCTCTGGGGAACTGGCAAAACAGGCCTTCAGATAATTACATATTTTCAGGAGAAAATTTTACATTCCCTAATTCTTGCATCTTCCCATACTTAGAAAAGCACTACATTCATTAACTAAGATGCCTGTTCCTTGTGACTAGCAGCAACCTTCTGAGATGTGTGCTTGATTACATATACTCCCTTCGGCGACATCACATCTATACTGACCTTGCCCTAACCTCTTCAGAACAGCTTCTCAGAGCTATCTGAGACGCTGTCTCCTGCACAGCTTTTATGCTTATGCGTTTTGTTGGTTTTTTTTTTCAGTTGACAATGGAAAGGCAAATTAGTGATTAAATTAAGGCATAGAAAAATAAAAATAAAGGTACAATACTTGGCTAAATGAATTCATAAACATAGAAATCTGAACCTGATATATACAAATATAATTAGAAGAATGCTTTTTATGGGCACACATGTACCACTGATCTTTTAAAATTTAAATCTTGGAAGTTGTATCTTAGGAAATGACTACTCTACCTTTAATTGGTTGGAGAAAACTTTCTCGAAGCTGAGATATTAGCTGTTTAAATGACAGAAGGCAGGCAGTTTGGCAAGTTTAACAAGCAATGGTCCAGGAGGAAAGCAAGAAATTTGACTGATAATTGAAAGCAAACAACAAAAAGATTGGCAGAACCACAGACTTGGATAAAGAGATTTAAAGTAGAATCTCAGTCCAAATTTGTGGGACATTTGGAAAGTCACTATACAGTGCAAAGGAGGCAGGTGGCAAGGTTAAAGCAAGGGTCAAATTGATTTAAGAGCAGTTTCGAGAAGTTACTGGAGTCAGTCAGGACTGAAGTCTACAAGTGAAAAGATATAAAACCAGTCCAGGTGGAAGATGCTGGCTCTGAGGCTTGGCAGCTGACATGCTTGGTTAGAAGAATGATTAATAAAAGTCTACATGTTGCTAAAATGCTGATTGGAAAAATGTTTACAGTAGAATGAAAAAATAGATACTTGAAGACTGGTCTTTGGTCCTCTTTTGTGTTCATCTTTCATAGAGATTGACGAGAAAAGAAAACAAAGTCAGTTTAGATGAGTAAAGAAACTCCCTCCTTCCAGCCATCCACACAGAGTCTGTTGTTTTCAAACACACTTGGTAATAGGAATTACCTGGCAGCAACAAGAAAAATCTTTCATTAAACAGAAGGTTTTTCAAAGACCATTCAGTCAAGCAAATGGCTACCTCATTAAGCAAACTGGGAAAGATTCCAAATGTTTACAAAATAACTGAATTCAAGACCTACAGGCACATCCCAACCTTTTTTTCATGGGCTCTCTTTTCAATTGCATTAAAGCAGCCCACCATTTTCCTAGGCAGCATTTTAGTGCAATTTTTTATTCCAGACAAAGCATGACTGACAGCGATAAAGAAATTCATGTATTAATTTTTGCTCACCAAAAACAAATACATTTTATAAAAAAGACAAATTCAGATGCTCCATGATTCCATTGAAACTAGGGTATGAATTCCAAGCCATTCATTTAAATCCTTTGTTCAGCTATGTATGAAAGCTAAACCAGTCAGAGTGCAGATGAATAATTACCATGTCTATTCTAATTCTAAAAATCCCTTTAAATCCTTTTTGCAAGAAAAATTATTTCAAAAAGCAACATTCTGTTTTTATTTAGTCTCAGGTCCTCTCACTTTAAAAAATTTATATATATTACCTGAACTTTGATTGAAAAAAAATACAGTGTTTAATATTTTTGCAAGAGTTATGTACACTAAAATAAGACCAGCCTTGAGAAGGTTTCTGCCTGAGATCCCCCTCCTCTCCACTTAAAACCAACTTTCTGTTTTCTGTACACATCCACCCTGAGGTTCTTATTGATCTCCAATTTCCTCTTTGCTTTTGGATGCTAATAATCAGAACCCCTGATCTCATGCTTCAAATGGTTCATATGTACCCTTGGCTTTAATTCTTCAGAACTTCTCTCAAAAGGCACCTTAGTTCTCGGATTGATTTATTTGTTATGATTGGCTGTTTATCTTATCACCCCTCTATGAAAATGTATTTAAATCAGAACAGGGACCTTCTGTTGATAGTATCTTAGTTCAAAGAAATAATTCTGACTGTGGGAATGAACAGCCAAGCACTACAGCGGCCACTCTGCAGATACTCTGAACAAAACACAGGCATCTGCCTTTTTCAGCTTTGCACCAGACTGACTGCCTTGGTCTAGAAAATAAATGTACATGGGTAGCAAATCTTACAAGAGCAAACCGTGAGCGCTAAGTCACAGGAGTCGTTCATCATGGCATTAGGTAATTCTTGAGCCTTAGGATGATTGATGTGTTTAATTTAAACCGGCCTGGGTGCATACAATGTGTCCCTGAAGTGGTAATAGGGTGAGTGGGAGAGATGCAGGAGGAGATTTTAATGGAAAGCAGTTTTCTCTTTCAAACTTTCCCGAATGTCTTTCAACAACAACAATTTTTTAAGTGTTTTAATTACTGCCATATTATATGATTCTACCCTGTTCTCTGGGTTTCTCCTAAGGTATCAGTGAGGTAAAAGCTGTCTTAAGTCCCATTGCACAAGACTTTTTTTTTTTTTTAAATAATAAAGCCTTTCGCAGAAAACTCTTTTCAGTTCATTATGACAATGTAGCCTGGAGTCACAGAGATCAGTTAAAATCACCCTTATGGTGTATTAAAAGATGTTAGTTGAGGTAATGGTGTTCATATTGGTGGGCTGACTTTTAGTCATTCTGTTTAAGAGAAAATACAGAGGAATTACTGAATTGGAGGTACATGTTACAAAAACAAAACCTATTCTATTGTATGACTTTCTGGCCTTCATTGCTAACAAAAAAAAGCTTTTCTCTATTTGTGATGTAGTATTCCCTATACTGGGTAATAGAATATGACTGTTTTAGAGTTGTTAAACCCCAGTTTTAAAATTCGGTGCATGTATGAAATACCTAAGTAGTTCTGGTTAAAGAAGTGCTTTGAAATGGTCTGATTTAACTGATCAGTTCTTCATGTTTTGAACATTTACCCTTCTGTGGGCCAAACTCTAGTTTCTAAGAGTAAGACAGTGAGCTCCTTTGGACTTTACCATTTTGATAAGCAAAAAAAAAAAAAAAAAAAGTTTAATAGCCAAAATTCTCACAAATAAAAATGTAATTATAATGTATATTTAGTGCCATGAAGGAAAACTAGAAGGTGCTTTGAGAGCATGTCACAAGAGATCCTAATGCAGTCCGGAAGATCAGGAAAGACCTTGCTGAGGAAGCATTCTCTGAGCAAGTTCCGAAAGATACTTGGCAGATACATGGTGAGTTAAAAATTAGGAGAGCACTATGGAAAGAGACCCAGATGGGAAGTGTGGCAGGGAAAGAAGATGCCAGGGATGGGAGAGAAGGAGGCTAGATAGAGAATTGTGAAACATGAGGATGAAAATACAGGCAGAAAGCAAATCACAGAGAAACTATCACACCATGCTAGAGAGCTTGTTTTTCATCCTAAAGGCACTGGAAAATGATTAAAATGTTTTAATTGCGACATCACATGAGCACCTATCCTTGTTAACACCATCCTGCCTCTAGAAAGGAGAGTAGACAAAGATTGTGAGCTGCATTTTCTCTTGGGGGATAACCATTTTGAAGTCCAGAGTTCCCAGTCTTAAAAATGGACCAGAGGCTCTCTAACACACTAAACAATAATGTAACCATCATACCATAACTGTTTCTGTAGAAATTACTTTTATCAGAATCCTGGGAAATTTGTCTCTTTCCTAAATCCTATGTTTCCTCATTTTTTTCCAGGTTCACCGAGATATAATTGACATGCAACATTGTATTAGTTTTAGATGTAGAACATAATGATTCAGTAAACACATATATTACAAAATGGTTTTTTTAACAGTAAGTTTAGTTAACATTAGTTAACCCAACACTTTACATAGTTACAATTTTTCCTTGGGGCGAGAACTTCTAGCATCCACTTTCTTAGCAACTTTCAAATAGAGTATTGTTAATTACAGTCACCATGCTATACATTACATCACCCATGCCCAGAACTTATTTATCCTATAACTAAGTTTGTACTTTTTGACCTTTTGCACCTAATTTCTTCATTTACCTTATTGTTTGGGTATAACATTTCATCCAGTATTTTCCTGAAGAAAGAGTATTTGGTAGATATACTTTTTAAATATTATATGTCTGAAAACAGGCTTGTTCTATCCTTATATTTGACTGATAGGCTATCAGAACCACGGAGGCATTGCCTCACTGTCTTTGAATGTCCCATACAGCTGTCAATACATCTCATGCAGTGCTAAGTTTTCTTTCCTATGAGATTTTTTTTTTACCCACATGGAACATCTAAGAATCTTTTTGTCACCACAAGTATTTTGAAATTTCTTATTAATGAATCTCGGTGAAAGTCTTC